TGATCAATTGCGTTGAGAGACCAGTTGACCAGATCCATCATTTTGGTTTTGGAGGAAAATGCAGAGAGAGGCTCCGAGATAGTTTGACAGAGACGGTACAAGACATAGAGCAGTAGCAGGGCAGATAAGGGCAGGAAGGGAGGAAGGGAGCAAGGGAAAAAGCGTCCGCCTTCTTCGAGAGCAAGTGTGAAAAAAAACTGTATTTCAGCCTTAGCCACAGAGCTAGATTGTACATTTTATGTACACGTACAGTTATTCAATGTTATAAAATGACTGTTCCAGCTACATATTAAGGATATGGCACAGAGGAGTCTGTATGGGACATAAAAGCATTCAGGTACACTGGTCCTGTGTACTGTGTTAAACAGTAGATCGTCTCTGCATTGATTGCTTGGTTGAAATCAGACCAAACACCATGTACCACATGCCACAGTATCAAGCTTAGGCAATTTGTCTTGCCTTGTAACATGTCCAGACGCCTGCAAGGTTTGATGGAAGAGACAAAAGCAGGCAAATTCTTTTCTCTATCAACAACAATTGAAATGACACCTATAACTGTACTGTGCGTATGTACACAACAAAAGATGTAAGTCCATGGGGACTCCTGTCTGACCTCATCTGTCAATCTGTCCATCACCAAAGCAAACAAGAAGGGGCTCAGGGCCGATCCTTGATGTAGTCCCACCTCCACCTTGAAGTCTTCTGTCCTTCCAACAGCACACCTCACCACTGTTGTACTATTCTCATACATGTCCTGCACCAATCTAACATACTTCTCTTCTCTCTACTTCTCTGCCACTCCTGACTTCCTCATACAAAACCACAATTCCTCCCTTGGCACTCTGTCATATGCCTTTTCTAAATCTACAAATACACAATGTAGCTCCTTCTAACCTTCTCTGTACTTCTCCATAAGCATCCTCAAGGCAAATATTGCATCTGTGGTACTCTTCCTAGGCATGAAACCATACTGTTGTTCACAAATCTCCACTTCCTGCCTCAACCT